TGTAGTCAGCATGGCAGGAGCAGTGTGGCGGGAGTCAATGTCGTGGATGTAGTCAGCATGGCAGGAGCGGTGTGGCGGGAGTCAATGTCGTGGATGTAGTCAGCATGGCAGGAGCGGTGTGGCGGGAATCAATGTCGTGGATGTAGTCAGCATGGCAGGAGTGGTGTGGTGGGAGTCAAGCAGCCACTGGCCTTCAGACCAGCACTTTCAGACCTACCCTCCTCCAAAACCTACAGTACAGCCGGCCGGCTTCTCATCATGGAGGGCATGCTCTGTCTTTCCCAGCCTAGCTTAAACTTCTCAGGGTGCCTTCTTTGCATACGCCTCTTGTGGTAGTCTCCCAACCAGCCACTGTGGTAGGGTGACCCCAGAAGTCCTAAAGGGTAGTTGTTACCCTCTCCCCAAACTGCTCCTGATTAAACACTCCCAGTGGAGGCACTGCAACGGATTTTTTTTTTTTTTCTAGCTATATCCTGTTATGCAAAAGGAATACTTTCAGAGTAAAAGCCCATGTCGTTTTGCAATTTACAATGAATGTGGACTTTTCTAGCACTGCAGGCCTGGTACACTGTTTCTCTCTGGAGCTGCCAACCCTCTCCAGGGTTTGTGTCGGCAGAGACAAGTCCCCCTCCCTGGAACTGAAGTTAGCATTTCAGCCTACTTTGTTTGCTTCTCTGTGTCGTGCTGAGTTTCTGTAGCTTCTCTGTAGTTTCTAGTCTTCCTGTCAGCATCCTCCTGATCTTCAGAGATCTATTATTATTATTATTATTATTATTATTATTATTATTATTATTTTGGCATAACTAGGGATTGAACTCAGGCCCTTACGCTTGCCAGAGAAGTGCTTATTCCACTGAACCATCTCCCCGGCCCTAGATCTATTATATTTTGTTTCACCAAATTGTCCCAGACAGGCCATATTTTGCTGCTAGTTTTTACCATTTTTAATCCCTGAGCACTCATTTTTAAGTTTAAAAAAACATGTTTGCAATTCTCTTGAGAATACATGTAGGAGTATAATTACTAGGCCACATAGTAATTACATGTGAACTTTTTTTTAGATGATATATTTATTCATGGAGCATACCCTAAAAAATAAATAGCTCATTAAAATTAATGCATACATTTATTGTCAATTCATGCACATCTTCCTTCTTAAAAGTTAATGGCATAAATATTACTGTATCATTATTTAAAGCTAACTGAATAGGAATGCTTTAGTACTTTGATAGTAAATAATAAAATTGGCAGACCAGATTCTTATATTACAGTAAATGTTTCATACATGTGAACTTTTTGAGGAACCACTGAACTATTTTCTACAGTAGCTGTAACATTTTTCTTCTTTGATGAATCCAAAATCTTCCTAATTGGTTTTGAGTATTAAGGTGATATCTCTTTTGTAAAGAAAGACTACCATTCTTCCATCACCTTACTTTCAAAATATTTGTGTCAATAAATCTAAATTGAGTCTCTTGTAGGTACATCATGTTTTTGATTCATTCTGCCAATCTGTCTTTTCATTGGAGACTGTATCTGTATTTGGTACTTATAAGAACATACTCCTGCAACTTGCTACCTGTGTACTTCTCACATCACTTACACTTTCTCACTAATCTGGTCCATCTCTGATACTGAATGGACTTACATGCCATCTCGCATCGTCACTCCCTAGTCTTATTCAACTTGTATGGCTGGACTTCACGCCTGCTGCTCAGTAACTCCTTACTCCCTCCCTGCAGTCTCTGGGAGCCGCCACCCCACTTTGTTGTTGTTGGGGTGGTAGTAATGGGGATTGAACCTAGCACCTGTGCATGCTAGGCAAGCAAGCGCTCTACAGTGGAGCCATATCTTCAACTCTTTCAATGTCTCATTTTGAACTAGGGTCTTATAAGTTGCCTAGGCAACTTAAAAGAGTAATATAGTAATATGATCGGACATTCCCATCTCTGGATATTCATTAAAAAGAGTGGATGTCAGAATTACCAGAATTATTTGAACCTGTGATCCTCCTGTCTGAATCTCCCCAGTATGTGGGAGTATAGGCATACATCATTACATCTGGCCATGCTCCTGCTCTTTGAATAATCTGTGAAAGACTATTTTATATGAAATATAAATAGTGGACTCCTATAGTACTGGATCTTCTGTGACTAATTTCACTTACCATAAATTTATGTGTCTGGATAATTCAAGATTATTCATGATTGTAATAAATATAAGGACTAATTTCCTTTTTAATGATGAATATTTTTTTGTCTGTTTATATTACATTTTCTCTGGGTTTTTTTTTTTTTTGACCAGGAATTGAACTCAGGACCTTACACTTGCCAAGCAGGTGCTTGTGCTGTGAACTATACCCCTGTCCTTATAGTATGTTTTCTTTATTCACTCATCTGTTGATGACCGTTATGCTGATCAGCCATCTTGGCAACTGTGAATGCTGCTCAGTGAATGCGGGAGTGATGACGTGTCTTGGGAATTCTGACATCCACTCTTTTTAATGAATATCCAGAGATGGGAATGTCTGATTAGTTTACCATATTACTCTTTTAAATGTTCTCCAGAACCTCCATGATGGTTTCTGTAGCAGTGGCCAAGAGCTGGCAAAGAATCCAGTTCTCCAAACCCTGAAAATACTTAGTTCTCACTCTTTTGTGACAGTCGTCTATTGGGTGCATGATTGTATCTCATAGTTTTGGGTTGAGTTTTCCTGCAGATCAATGAAATGCAGCATATTTTCATATGTCTGTTGGTCATTTGTATGTCTTCTTTGGAGAAACAGCCATTCAACTTCTTGGTTCAGATGTTTGGACAGCTTTCTGAACATGCACAGGAGCATCTTCCACTAGGGAACAGGGAGATGCACTCGTGTATGTTGTAGTCTTTGCTTTAATTTCACATCAGTAGAATTTGGATGAGTATGAATTTGGGGTGAACAAGAACAATAAGTATCACTGAGCTGTCCTGTCTATGATGGACATTTATTTGATTTCTTTCTTTCCTTTTTTTCTGCTTTGGACATTTATTTTCATAAAACTCAGAAGTGGAGATGAATAGGCAGTAGTTGCTCTGAAATAGTGACCTATACAGCTTACAAATTGTAATAGGAGAACAGAAGGAAGGATACAGATTTAAACAAAACACACTGTGAATCCAAGGAAAGTGTTTGGATGATAGCACTTATTCAATAGTAATTTTTAAATAAATTGACAGAGACTTGAAGGCAGAGTAAAAAAGCAGACAACAGTATTCTCAGGACTACTAGAGGACAAAACCAGGCAAGACTGAGAGGTACGAGACATTACAGGTAAGCATCTTTTTTTTTTACAGAATCTTTGAAACTGGCAAAAGATGAGAAATTAGTCCTTAAGAAGTCTTTATACTACTGCACAGAAAGGTGATTTTCTTCTAATGAAGGCTATTGGGATTACTTACTACTACTGAAGCCTACACTATGACTTCTGCAGTGCATTTTTAAGATGGTTTACATAGTTTACTGGAAGGGATAGGCTTATGAAACTCTTAAAATTGGCTTTTTCTAAGTGGTACAAAAGGAAAACAAATCTTCAATAAATGTTACCACTCACCAGTATTATACAGCAGCAAATGAAGAAGATGATGAAATCGTGGAGCAGTGCGGAAAACCAGTACACGAGGGTGGAGACCCCACTCAGATACTGGATGTGCTTGGCCTTAGAGACCCTCTCAGTCACGATCAGGAAGCAGAAGCCACTGATTAAAAGGGCAAGGCCCAGCTGTAACTTTATGGCCACATCTTGTCCATCTATAATCCTGCAGAAGAAACAACAAAAACAAAGGCATATCAATGAACAAAGCAGAAAATAGTTCTATCAATAGCTACTTTTATCATAGAAATATAATCTGATGGGTTGGGAAGAATGTGAACTGTAAGAGTCAAGTCTAATGAAAGGAAAAGCATACCGTTCAACCTGTCGCTTTTTTTTCTTCTGAAGGACAGGCTGAGGTTTGTTGGAGACAGTTAATGAAGCATGAGCACCAGAAAGTGACATGAAGAGCATGTTGTCTAGCACCGAAAGGGACAGAGCTGGAGAGTGGTATGCTTGGTTGTTGAAGAGGGCAGTAAGCACGGTTTCATTTGACTTGACCTCTATGGAAAGTGCAACAATGCACCTAACGACACACTCTTGGTTTTCCTTCAAGTACTTCGGTAGGTCACCTAGGATGAAGATACAGTATTGCTCACAGTGCCAAAATACAGGGCACCTAAAATACATGTTAGGGAAAAAGAAAAAGTAGCAATTTTATTTTCATCCCTTTACATCTTCTCACAACTGTTTAAAATATTTGGTGTTTTCCTCAAGTACTTCATCCCCTCATTAAAATTCCAAGCTCCCTTACCCCACAACCTATAAGCTAAACCACTATTTTTTCTTGGCAAACACATACAACATCATGTAGACAGTCTTAACTTGTATGTCTTAAACACTTGCAGCATTGATTACTTTGCATCTAACAAAACCTTTCTGTGAAAAACCAGGAAAACTAGATGAAAGGATTTTCCAAGTCTCTTAGAACTGCCATTCTGCTATTTTTGGTGGGGGTAGACAGTACTAGGGGTGAAACCCAGGACCTTAAAACCTCCCCTTTGAGAGTTTTAGAGACCTAGAAAATCAATCAAACATTTGAGGGCCAAGATCCTGGGAAGAATGAGAAAATGTATTACGGTGACTCCAACATTCTGTCACCTTTGTTCCCTTCAGATCTGTGTGTGTGTAAACTGTGGAAATGCCTTGGTAAATCTTGTTTTCAGTGGAACTCAAGAAGGTGTGTATAAAGTCAGGGGTATAGCTCAGCAGCATAAGTGCCTGCCTGGTAAGCACAAGATCCTGAGTTCAATTCCTGGTATAAAAAAAAAAAAAGGGTTATAGCTTACTGAAAAAGAAACAAATTCTTTTCTTCCCTTGAGACAGAGTTTTTCTGTGCAGTTCAGGCTGGCCTTGAACTCATTTTGTGGCCCAGGCTGGTCCCAAACTCAGTGATCCTTGTGCCTCGGCCTCCTGAGTGCTGGGCTTACAGGTGTGTACCACCACACCAGGCAAATTAATTCTTATATACTAATTCTTAATTAATTCTTATATATTAATTATTTTCCCTGAAGTAATTCAATAGGTCACCTAGGATGAAGAAATGGTATTGTTTAAAATCTCAACCCAGCCCCAAATGACTTCAATCCCTGATTGAATTTAAAAATTTGAATTAATCTTACTGCTTACCAGAGTTAAATTAAACCTCCTCTGGAGAACATGAACTCATCTAGAATCTTTGTGATTTTCATTCATTACACATGGAACTGAATTAAAATATTATGAGGTATGGCAAAAAACAGAATTAAGAGAAAGCATAGACAATCAAAACAAAACTACATCAGAATTAGCTATTTACATACAGAATTTACCAGAGAATTGAAGTACACATAAATAATCAAGAGTTAATGCTAAAATTGAACACTACATTACTTAGAATTAAAATTATATAATTCATAGTAGGTTAAACACAAATGATAAGTAGACCAAAGAACTAAAAGACAAGTGATTAAAAAATGTTAATACAGGCTAGGGTCATAGCTCAGCAGCATGAGTACCTGCCTGGCAAGTGCAAGGTCCTGAATTCGATCCCTGGTACCAGAAAAAAAAAAAAAGCTAAAAAATGTTAATAAAGGAGTCCTCTGAGTTTACTCTATACATAGATGATGGCTAATTTCGAGTGTCAGCTTGACTAGGTTAAGGAATGCCCTTCCATGGTAAGATATAATCTAAGAGTGCTTGCTTCCAGGATAAATTAGCATTTGAATTTTTGTTGTTGTTGTTGTTGTTGTTGTTTTGTATTGGGGACCTTGCACTTGCCAGGACCTTGCACTTGCCAGGTGTTTATACTGCTGAGCTATGTCCCTTGACCTTGAATCTGTGAGGCTGAGTGAAAGTCTATCTTTACCAATATGGGTAGGTATCACTGGAGACGGTTAAAGAAGCACCAGCACCAGAAAGTGACATGAAGAGAATGCTGCCCAGCACCGAGGGGCAGAGCTGGAGGGCGGCATGCTTGGTCCAATCCATGGACAGCCCCAGCAGAACAGAAGTGTGGAGGGAGGGCAAATGCTTTCCCTTCTTGAGCTCAGCTACTCTCTCCTGCCTTTGGTCACTGGCACTCCTGGTTCTCAGACTTTTGTGTCTAGAACTTACACCATGTCTCTCCTGATTCTCAGGCCTTCAGAGGCATAGTGAATCATTTGCTTCTCTTCATCTCCAGCTTTCAGATAGCACCCAGTGGGATGTCTCAGTCTACCTGATGGTTTGATCCACTTCCCTCAAATAAATCATTAATATTCTCTATCTCTATTCCTCAACTGTTTGACTGAAGAAATAAAATTTTAAAAAATTTCCAAAAAAGAAACTTCTAGATTCAGACATTTTTACTACAGAATTCTATCAAATGGGGCTGGGGAGATAGCTCAGCACTCTATGAGCCTGCCCAGCAAGCACAAGGACCTGGGTTGATCCCTGGTATCACACGCTGTTGTCAGCCCCGGAACCCCAGGCACGCTGTGCCAGCCACCAAAAGTAGGTGTGGAGGATTACATCTGTAATCCTGATGCTAGGGAGGCTGAGACAGGAAGATCACTATGAGTTTGAGCTGCATAGCGAAACCCTGTACCAACTATCTTTAAAAAATTAAAAGCCTTTTGAGTTCTTATACTAGGGAGACTATACGATATCTATGAATAACTACTATGAAGACAACAATATGCAATGTATTAATTATTGCAGCTGTCCTACTAACCTGTTTTGAAACTATCTCACTGCTATTTCTTTCTCAATATAATTAATTTTAAAAAGTAAAAAAAAAAAAAAGAAAAAAATCAAGGTTTATTGAAAGCAAGTGTTCATATTCATTTATTTGCCCTATCTCGCATAACTATATCTGTTAATCTGAGCAACAGATTTGATGATAAAAATAGGTAATAGAATAGCCATTGTTAATTTGCTATTCTTGTTTTGAAAATCTGTAACATGTATTGTTGTATGTCACCCTGTTTCTGTCTTTGGGTCTGCTATTTGTTTTTGCTTTTCTTTTTACTCTTCAAAATAAAATAAAAAAGCCACAATGATGGAAATTTTATATAGTGACATAAAATATAAGTAGGAAAAAGGTATAGTTTGCCATGCAAGTGCTTATTCTACTGAGCCATCTCCCCGGCCCCATTGTGTAGTTTAAAAAGGAAAAATCGAACTGCTCTTACTAGCAAATGACATGCTTCTGTAATGTAGAAGATTCCAAGGAAGCAAAATAAAAGCTTCTGCAGTTAGTGAGTGAGTTCATCAGATTCATAGGATATAAGATAAACACAAATGAATAAAGATTACACTGTACTATGACAGACAGCAAATCCTAGCAGCATACAGTTCCCATGTGTTGTCACAGTGAAATGGGCACAACCACCTTGCCGTGGAGCTTAGAGCCCCGAGCATGCCAGATCAGTCTCGAATGCACAGTCTTCCCACCTCAGCCTCCCTGTGCTAGGACTGTGGACACTAAGTTTAAAAATATAGGACACATTTATGTTCATTAAAAAATTTAGGTTTAAATAATTTAAATTTTAATTTATTTTTTTATGTGTGATACTGGGGGTTCAAACCCAGGGTGCAATGCATGGCATGCAAGTGCTCTACCACTGACTCCACCCACAGGACTGTAGGTGCCAATTTAGGGGGAAAATATATATATCTATCTATCTGTGGAAAACTTTACAAAACTGATAAAAGAAGTCAAAGAAGTTTTAAACACACAGAGAGATTAATTAGATTAATTTCAATTTTTTTTTTTTTTTTTTTTTTTTTTTTTTTTTTTGAGACATGGTCTCACTGTGTAGTTGCAGGCTGGGCAGTAATCGACTCTTTTTTTTTTTTTTTTTTTTTTTTTTTTCCAGAACCAGGGATTGAACTCAGGCCCTTGTGCTTGCAAGGCAAGTGCTTATTCTACTGAGCCATCTCCCTGGCCCTAGATTAATTTCATAGTAACACGTACTTCAGCATATTTGGAATTTTTACAGGAGGGAATAACAGGACTTAGGGGCAGCCTGCAGTCACAGGGTATGCACTGACCGCTTCTGGACACCAGGAGCTCTAACTGGGACATTTCTTGAGTTTCCCCCCATGATATTATCGATGAGCAGGAATAAAATGGGGAGACTAACTAATATTACAGTTAAGATATTTCTTTGGAAGTGACATAAATCGAAGAGCAGTCATCTTTTTTCTCCTTACCTTGCACTTCCCTAAGTATGTGGTTTTTAGGCGTTAGCATACTCTCAAGGTGCTTTGAGAGACTTAGAGATAAATTAGAATTCCCAGAAACAGAGTAGGGCACAATAGTTGGGCCATATTCATTCAAATTCATCTGTCTGGATGTCTCTTCATTAATCCTTTGAAAGTCATTATCTTGGAAGAGAAAGGCAGTGGGAATTAAAAGTCCAAGGATCTGGAACAAAATCAGCTTCCAGTTGCGCCTGCTGAACAACAGCCTCTTTTGGAACATTGCATGGAACTGCTGATAGTAGAGGGCACACTAAAGAAAGAACAGGGAATATCACAATAGGCATAGATCTAAATTCATGTTGAAATCCATCAAGATAAAAGCTTTGAAATTTTACGGTATAAATATACAAAGGCATTGACCCAGGATGGTGCAGCTGGCTCGAGGAGCCTCCCTCCTTCCCTAGAGAGGCTGAGCCTGAAAGAAGAGGGTGAGTTTGGCACCCTCATGGTTGGTGAGAGAAGTCTGAGATCCACCCAGCAACGACAGGGTAAAATAACTCTACTAAGTGGAAAATAATTGCACACAAGTTCCTGGTAAAGGGTTACATTTCATTTCTGTAGACCTTCCTTCTACAGTTACAGATATCAGGCTAATATCCACAGTTTGTCAGTGGACAGCCTGTACTTGAGTCTGTTGTTACTGCCAACTAATACTTTAACCAGGATGTTATACATGCTATAAAAAGTTTATTCCTCCCTATGACAACCCTGCAACTATAAGAGGTCATAACCATCACCATAGTCTAGTACCAAAGGAATGGGCCCTAAAGCACATTGATAGAAATTCCTCAGACTTAATATATTGGGAAGGTAGGTTCTTAGGTTATACATAAAGGCCAAGAACTACCGACATTTAGAAGACATCCAGAGAAACAGACAGTTCCTAAGAAAGTCTCAACATCAGTGATAAGGCTATTTAGCATAAGAAATCTATAAGCATCCACACATAAAATGAAATAAAACAAAAAACATAAGATGACAAGACAAAAAAGCAAAAAGCAATCCCAAATACCCAGGCCACACCCAGCACAAGTCCAGAGCACAATGAGATAAAGGAAACTGGAACCAACAAATGGAACTCTCTCAAATGATGGCAGTAGAACTAAAATAACAAATGGAAGAGGCCATAGAAAAAAATAATATCTAAGGTTCAAAAAAACGATGATCAAAATTGAAGACATTAAAGTAGACAGATAAATAAACAGAAGGTCTTGGGAAAATGATAGAAGCCATGAATGTCAAACATAAAAAATGGAATGAGTGAAACAGATCCAATCAAAAATGCAGAGGACTAAAGCAGATTGAATGAAGGCAAGGATAAAATAGTAGAACTAAAAGACAAAGTCCACGCATGGTGGTGCACGCCTGTAATCCTAGCTGCTGGGGAGGCTGAAAATAGGAGGATCACTACAAGTCTGAACTGCGTAGTGAGACCCTGCACCAAAATACATAAATAAAAAATGAAAGACACAATTGTAGCTATCAACCATGAAAAGAAAGATCTCTCTCTCTCTCTCTCTCTCTCTCTCTCTCTCTCTCTCTCTCTCTCTCTCTTTTTTGAGCCAGGGTCTCACTATGCAGTTCAGGCTGGCCTTGTGCTTACTTTTGTAGTCCCTACGCTGGTCTAGAACTTGCAGAGATTCTCCTGGCTCAACCTCTGAAGTGTTAGGATTATAGTCACACACCACCATGCCAGGATCCTGGGCCACACAGTGAGCACCTGCATCCAGGGCTGAGATGGCGCACTTGGGCATCTGGCTGAGACCATGCAGTATGTGGTGCCAGGGATCACACTGGGGTCCTTGTGCTTGCCAGATAGGTGTTTATGCCTCTAAGCTATCTCTCTGGCCCCAAGAAATATAACTTAAAAAGAGCAAGAGACCATGAAAAATCAGTCCAATAGCTATAACATGAAGGAAAGAACAACATAAGATTGGAATCAGTGAAAAAGCTGCAGACAGGGCAAAAGTTATTAAAAATCTTTTCACAGAAATAGTGGCAGAAAACTTCCCAAACATGGATAAAGAATTTGGCAGACAAGTAAATGAAGCATATATAACTTCAAATAGCCATGACCAAAGTAAATTTATGTCAAGGCATATGTTAATCAAGATTCCATAAATTAAACACAAGAACAAAATATTAAAAGCAGCTAGAGAAAAGAAACATCCCCTATAAATGAAAGCCCATCAAAATTAGAGCAGATCTCTAAACACCTTCAAATAAAGGAGAACTTGGAGCCCCAAAGACACCTATCTTCAACCCAGATTGATGGAACCTGCAAAACTGTCTTTCAAAATCAATGGAGGAGTAAGGTACTTCCATGACAAAGAATAACTGAAGCAATTTATGACCACCAAACCAGCTCTACAAAATGCTCTGAAGAATATATTAGAAAGAGATAATGAAGAACATGAACACAAATACACCAAAAGAAAGAAGCTACTCCACAGGGCAAGCAATTAAGCAGAGGAGAAAGAAAGAAAATAAAAAATAGGAAAAATAATACGGAAAAGAGAATACATAACAGTTATAAACCATCAATGTAAATGGTCTCCACTCATCCAACAAAAGACACAGTCTGGCAGAATGGATCAAGAAACAAGATCCAACAATATGCAACATAAAAGAAAAACATTTAACCTAAAAGTAAATACATTCACTGAAAGTCAAAGGATGGAAAAACAATTCTCCATGCCACAGAAACCCAGAAAAAAGCAGACAACACAAACTATAAGCCTAAATTTTTAGCCAAAATTAATCAAAAGAGATGAAGGTCACTACATACTTGTTAAGGAACAATGCCAAGAAGGAGAGATAACAATCATAAATATTTATGCACAGAACACCAATGCACCCAACTACATAAAACAAAAATTATCACATACGAAAAATCAAATAAGCAATAACACAAGTGTAGTTAAGGACCTCTCACAAACAGATCAACTAGATAAAAAAATCAACAAAGATATCTTAGAATTAAACCAAGCATGTGCAAAAACTTTTTATGATGAGGTTCCAGTTTTTTTTTTTTTTTTTCAGAACCGGGGATTGAACTCAGGCACCTGCGCTTGCCAGGGAAGCACTTATTCCACTGAGCCATCTCCCCAGCCCTCCCAGTTGTTGATTGTTTGAAGTATTTTTTGTGAAGTTTGGTTTTGGTTCATGAACTCTCTACCTACTCCTATGCATTCAAGATTTCTATCTACTTTCTGTTCTAGTAGATTTAATGTTCCTTTTTAATATTTATATCTTTAATTCATTTTGGCTTTAGTGCATGGTGATCAGCATGGGTCTAACTTTAGTTTTTGGCAAGTGAAAGCCAGGTTTTCCAGTACCATTTTTAATTTTTTTTAATGCTTTGTGATTTATTTTCAGATGGTGAAAGTGTGTTACAGTGAGCTGAATTTTTAGTTGTGCTTAGAATGTGCTCTCTCTTACATACTACTCAGGAAGGTGAACATTCTTATTTTGTATTGGAACCCTGAATTCTACGATTGATCAGCACTTGTAACCCATGCACAGCCTAAGTGATGCCTCATTTGAGGCTTTGAATAACTGTTGATATAAGTTGACTTCTCCGTGCATTTGTATTGAGGAGGATCCAGCTCAGGTTCATGTTCTGGGCGCCAGTGGGGCTCTTGCTTAAATCTATGAGTTACATGTGGCATTTTGTTATTGTAACTTGAATCATATGTTGTTTCACAGTAGTATTGAAACTGGGAAGGCAAAGGTTTTGGCTGCACAATATTCCTTAGACCATATCTTTCTTGGTTCCAGTTACCCATCAGAGTTTGGTTAGAATAGAAATTCTCATTAGTGGTACGTCTCCGTCTAAACTAAAAAATTTAAGACATATCATTCCAACCTGTCCACACTTCTGCATGGCCATTTGTGTTAATAAGGCTGCCATTGTGTGGGTTTCTGAGTAAATGAACAAGGTTCTGTTTCTGGAGAAATTCTGAGCAGCAGACACCCTGAGAGGCAGCCATTTCAGATTACATGAGAGGAGTTTTAAACATCCTAAGCAGCAGGAATATGCAGGACACAACCCAATCTCTTTTCGTCTTCAGCTCCACTCTGCTCCTTTCTCTTGGAGCTCACCTCACCCCCTTTCCAGTACCATTTATTAAAGAGACTAATTTCTTTTCTCTTTTTTTCTATAATTTTATTGAGAAATAAATAGCAATGAGACAGTTTCAAATCAAATTGGTAGGACAGTTCCAATAATTAACACATTGCATACTGCCTTCCTAGTGGTTATTTGTTGTATAAGATGCAGACATGATATCCTATTTACAAACACTATTAGGACAAATACCTCTATTCCTTGAATTAAGAGAATGTAGCTATATATCTATCCTAACCATTCTGAATACATACATACAAAATGATAAAAGAGACTAATTTCTTACAGTGAACACGTTTGGCCCCTTTGTCAAATATAAGGTGGCTAAGTGTGTCTATAGTCTTCTCTTCTCCTCTCCTCTCCTCTCCTCTCCTCCCCTCCCCTCCCCTCCCCTCCCCTCCCCTCTCCTCTTGATCCTTGATTCTATTGTTCCTTTTTTTTGGCCAATACTTTGCTGATTTCATCACAGTAGCTTTATAGTACAATTTCAAGTCACTTCCTGCTTTGCCTTTGTTGCCCAGGATTTTTTTTCTGGTTCCAGATGTATTTTAGGAATATTTTATCTAGATCTGTGAGGTATGCTAATGAAAAGAAAAACTACAAATTGAGAAAAAATTTTAGCCAGCTGTCTCTCAGACGAAGGATTTTGATAGAGAATATATGAAGAATTAAAAAAAAACCAAACCCTCAAAATTCAGAGACCCAATCTAAAAATGAGTATCTGAGATGAATACACACATTTCAGATGAAGAAATACAAATGGAAAATATAGGAAATAATGTTTGACATCATTGGTCATTCAAGAAATGCAAATTAAAACAACACTGAGATTTCATCTCATCCCAGAAAGAATGGCTAAATGGCTATCATCAAGAAATCAATCAATAACAAGTGTTGACAAGGCTGGGAAAAAGAAATGCTTCTCCACTGCTGGTGGGAGTATAGAACGGTGCAACTACTGTAGAAATCAGTGTGGATATATTCCTGAAAAAAAAAAAAAACTAGGATTGGAGGTTCCATTCAACCCAGCTATTCCTCTTCTTGGTATTTTCCCAGAAGAATTAAAAATACCATACCATAGTGACATATGGACACCCATGTTTATGGCAGCATAATTTATAATAGCCAAATCTTGGAAACAACCCAAATGCCCATTAACTCAGGAATGGATCAAAGAGATGTGGTATTTTTATACAATACAGTACTACTCAGCTATAATGAAAGATAAACTTGAGGCTTTTGTAGGTAAATGGATGCAACTTGGGACCTTACTCATAAGTGAAATAAATCAGACCTGCATGTGAAAACATCACATTGTCTCCCTGGTGTAAGAAACTGAAAGTAAGTAAGATCCAAAAGGTATCATAGATATAGTGAATGGAAGAAAGTGCGCAAAAGGAAAGAACCAATGGGATAAGGGAAGAGAAAAGAAGGAAGAAGAAAAAAGATATGTATACATTCACAAGACAGCTATGATAATTGTACTACTAATTTCTATTAGTTCATTGAAAGGAACCGTTAGTGCTATATTGTTTGATCAATTTTGCATGTCAATACCTGGTAAAATAAGCAACTACTTTGAAGATAACAATGTGCAATTTTTTTTATTACAATAAATTTTTATTTTTTTATTAATTTTATTGAGAAATAGCAATGAGAGTTTCAAAACCAATTAGTAGCATAGTTTCAATAATTAATACATTGCATATTATTGTCTTTGTAGTGGTTATTCATAGTACAAGATGCAGACATGATATACCGTTCAAACAATATTAGTACAAATCTTTCTTCTCATTGAATTAAGAGAAAGTAGCTGTATATCTATCTTAACTATTTTGTATATACATATACAAAATGGTCCTTCCTTTGTATCCCCCTTTTTTGTCTCTTTTTTTAAAATTTTTTTATTTTTTTGCTTTTTTATTTTTTTTTATTTTTCAACAAATAATACACTGCATATGTTCTTCTTAGTGGTTAATTGCTGTACTAGATGTGGACTTGTGATCCTATTTACAAACACCATTAGAACAAATCATTCTATTCTATTCATTAACAGAATGTAACTATATATCTATCCCAACCACTTTGAATACACAGATACAAAATGGACATTCATCTGTATACCTCATTTTTTCTAAGTTCCGTTATTGAATATTATAGGTAACAATGTGCAATTTAATAAGCATTCCTATCATCTTGTTTTGAAATTCTGTATTTTATTTTTTGTCTCTTTAAAATTAAAAAATAAAGGGAATAAAGATAGAACAGAAAGAGTTAAATTATCATTATCATTATTCACAATGACTTTACTGTTACATAGAAGTCCCCAAAAACTTGACCAAAAAAACTTGTGGATTTAATAAAGAAGATTCAATAGTGCAGTGGGATACAAAGTCAACACTCAAAAATCAATAGCATTCCTGTACACAAACAACAAAGACACAAAGAGAGAAATTAGGGAAAACATACCCTTCACAATAGCACCTAAAAAATGAAATACTTAGGGACCAATACAACAAAGGATATAAAAGTACAGTGAAAATTACAGTACTGTAAAAAAGAAGATCAAAGAAGATGTCAAGAAATGGAAAGATATTCTTTTCTCTTGGATAGGAAGAACCAACATAGTGAAAATGGACATACTTCCAAAACTGACATACAGATTTAATGTAAGCTCAATGAAAACACCATTAGTGTACCTCATTGATCTAGAGAATATATGCCTAACATTCATTTGGAACCAGAAGAAACCTACAATAGGAAAAAGGCATTTCAGGGCATCAAAGACAAGTTGGGGGAATCACAATCCACTACCTGAAATTATACCACAAAGTTACTATGGTAGCACTGTGTTGGAAAAAAAATAGGCCTGAGAGTCAGTGGAACAGAATAGAAGATGCAGATGCAACTCCAAGCACACTCAGTCACCTTATATTTGACAAAAGAGCCAAACACATTCACTGAAAGAGCACCTCTTTAATAAATAGGGCTGTAAAAACTGGCTTTTCATATGCCAAAGACTAAAACTAGATCCTTCTCTATCTCCATGCACTAAATTAAGGTCAAAGTAGATCACACATATAAATATTAAAATAGAAACACTAAATTTACTGGAAGTGACAATAGGGAGAAATCTCAAAGATACAGGTGTAGGCAGAGACTTCATCAACAAAATCCAGATTGCAAGGGAAATATTACAAAGAATCAACAAGTAGGATTTCACCCTATTAAAAAGCTCTTGTACAACAAAAGAAATCACCAACAGAGTGAAAAAAAATCCAACTTATAAAGTGGGAAAAATGATTGCCAATTGTCCCTTAGACAAAGGACTTACACAAAGAATCGGAAAAAAAAAATCAGATCCCCCAAATTCAAAGATCCATTTCAAAAATGGGCATCTGAAATGGATATACGCTTCAGATGAAGAAATACAGATGGTAAATAAATATGTTCAACATCATTAGTCATTAAAAATGCAAATCAAAACAACACTGAGATTTTTATCTCATCCTGTTAAGAACAGCTGTCATCAAGAAATCAATAAGAAATGCTGGAAGGGCTGTGGAAAAAGTAGAACACTTCTTCACTGCTGGTCTGAGTGTAGGTTGTTTCAACCACTGTGGAGATTCCTCAAGAAGCTAGGAATAGAGGTCTCATTTGACCTACTTGTTCCCTTTCTGGGTATCTTCCTGGAAGAATTAAAAATATACCACAGCAATATAACTGCACTTATGTTCATAATAACACAATTTATAACAGCTAAATATTGGAAACAACCCAAATACTCCTCAACTGAGGAATAAAGAAGATGTGGTATTTTAATATAATGGAGTGCTACTCAGCCATAAAGAGGACAAATTGGAGACGTTTATAGGTAAATGGATGCAACTCAAGACCATGCTCATAAGTGAAATAAACATCACATTTTAGTCTCACTAGTGTAAGAAACTGCAAAATATACACAATAGATACTGTGAATTGGGAAGAAACTTTTAAAAGTAAAGACAAACTATGATGAGAAAAAGGACAAAGAAAATATTTGTAGACAAGATATTTAAGGTATATAGCTAGGCTTTTTTTTTTTTTTTTTTTTTTTTTTTTTTTTTTTGCCTTTTAGTTAAGATTTATCTTTTGGTTTTGGTGCTGAGGACTGAATGCATGGCTCCAGCTTGCTAAGCAAGTATTCTACCACTGAGACAAATCACCAGCCCCACTAGTTTCTTTTAGTTCATTGAAAACAAAGGTTTACACTAATGTTATTTGGACAAGATACCATGTCTGTGTCTTGCACTGTAAAGAACTACTATGAAGACAACAATACACAATGTATTAATTATTGTAACTCTCCTACTAACCTGTTTTGAAACTTTTGTTACTTATCCTTTTTTCTCTTAAAAAAGTTTTATGGCATAAAAATATGGTACAAACATTTATAAATAAGTATAATGTATATGTAATTGAATGGGCCCAAGCATAACAGCATGGTGTCCAGGGATATCACCAGTCTCTTCTTCACATCAAGTGACAGACAGCAAACTATGTTTTGTGAACAGAGTCTCAGTGGAGCATAGCTGTGCATCCCATAGTGCTGTGGTGCTTTCCTGACGCAATGCAAAAGACTTCAACAGGATTCTTCTCAGATGCTTGTAGCCATGAACACCACGGTGCTTGATGGCTGGGACCGATATGTGCATAAGGACGATGAAGGAAACATCTGGAAGCACTAAGTGTCACCCCAAGCTGAGGGTCATGCTGGCTAGGGAGTGATCTCTAATGAAGGAACAATTCCCCTTGCAAAACTTAAAATATGTAAAAGTACCTGTACTGTGTTTGCAATTTTAAAACCAGGCTCAGGAGTACCCTCATTTCAGCTTCCATGAAACAACAAGCTTCTGGGTCACCAATTTGAAAAAAAAAATTAAGTCAGAAAAAACAACAGTGGTGAAAGTAACCAGCTGATACATTTTTTACAGCCTATCATTTCTGCGTTTGAATGTTAATTAGGTTCTAGCACAGAGTATTCCACAGTGGTCCTCCAATGGCTGAGAACTCTATGCTTTTCAATCAAATATTAAAATGAAAGGTACCTTTCGCATCCCAACAAAATATAGAGCAAGTTCTGATCGAGATTCTTACCCCAGTGTTAAACACAGTAGTATTTTCAGTCAGAGAACGTGGTCTTTCAGCATTATTGGACATATTGGTATTCTGCCTCGGAGTAGGCACTTGGCTTCTTTGGACTGGAGACTTGGTGGCCTGGAGACCTGTTTGTGAGTCCATGTGACTGACCCTAAATTTAAAAAAATACAAAGCTTTGTCTCATCCATATTGTGCTGTACCTTGTTCAGAGAATGTGACTCCCATGTCCCCACTCTGAAGGCCCCTCGGTTTGCTCACTGCCTGGCAGGGCTGTTGGGGAACAGGACTGTGAGTATGACAGAGTACCAGGTCCCACACACCACCTACCCCACCCTTGCCGCCTCTGGTTTTTTAATGTGTGAAACTTGAAAGTTTGAAGAGCTTCACAGAGAACCAAGGCTTCACCCTTCCCTTCAAGGTTTCTCCTTTTGCTCTACTACTGTATGTTCTCACTCACTTAAGGAAGACTTCCTCCATAGTAGTGACAGAGGCACCAAAGTCATTAATGCCCAGCTCAGCCTGTCTGTTTTCCAGGGTAGTAAACAGAACCTCAAACCTACAGGTTGGACAAGAAAAGAAGAAGCTGAAGCCAAACTAAACTTTTTTCTTATTTGTATCTTTTTGTTTTAAACTGATTTCCCCTCAGCAGTGGGGAAAATCTAGGTTATTCTTTACTTTAATGCTTGCTTTAATTGCTTGCCTCTGGTAAATCAGCAAGGTGGGGCAAATGGAGAGAAACCAACTCATAAGTCACCATAGCAAGGTTTCTTGCCCTACTTTGTTCTTTTTGGTAGGGGCTGAGCCAGGTCTCACTCTGCAGTCCAGGCGGGCCATGAGCTCACTGTGTAGCTGAGGCTGGCCTCGAACTTCACTGATGCAGCTGCCTCAGCCTCCTGCGTGCTGGGCTATCGGTGTGTACCACCACCTCTGGCTCTACTTTGTTCTTGAATACATAGAACTTTGGTTTTCTAACAAAAATATCAAAAGACTCTATATGTTAATAATTCTAGCTAGCTGAAATGAATTTACTTGCTATATATACTTATGATATGGTTCTTATTACTCAGTAAATAAAAAAAGAAAATCATATTCAAATGAAGATAAAGGCCTTCAGAAACAGAAAAGGAAGTGCAATGAAGCTTATGGAGCCAAGCACATGATTAAGTATACAGGAAAGCCTATTAAAGCTGCAATGATGAGCCTACAGGAGCAGAAAGCACACTATTGGAAACTGAAGGCCAGATGCAGTGCAGAAACATCAAGGCCTTTGATCAACAATTTTCCTGGGAATTTCTTACAATAAATTGTTTTCAAAAGATTGTATTTTCTAGGAACCTCAAAAAATCTCTATAGCACATTCCCACTAAATGGCAAATGAATTTATCCTTGCACCCTTTCAGTGCTGAGGCAACTCAAAATTCTCTCCTTTGGAAAGCCAGGAGACATTTGTTCTATATTTGAGGTTAAACTGTGTCTACTTTTATACATTAGTTATAATTTTGCACCTGAGGTTCTACAATACAGAAATAATCTACCTTTTCAGAAACAGGCTTACATACTTTCTAAAGTCCATTTCCTCTTCATACCTTACCTCTTCATTGTCAGTGAAGAT